CTCAGGCGAGGGGGGGGGGGGGGTGGGGGGGGGGGGGGGGGGGTCAGAGGGGGTCAGAGGGGGTGTGGTCGGGGTGTGAACGTCCTCTGTCTTTTCTTCTCAGTCCAAAGAGTGGAATCCTGGGCCACGTCCCTGGGACTGGGCTGTACTACGATGTAGACGAGTACGAGGAGGTGAGTCTGTGAGGAGAAACCAGAGGAGAACACAACGATCTGGGTTTGAGACCAGGTCTGAGGTCTGAGCCCAGGTTTGAGGTCTGAGGTCTGAACCTGATCCACTGCTGTTCTGTTCCCAGGCGGCTGAATTTGAGGGGATTAAGATTTTCTACTCCAACTCCTCCGTCTACTTCGCCAACAGTGATCATTATGTCAACACCCTGAAGAAGAATGGGCCTGGGTCCGCGGGGTGTGTGGGGGGGTGTGTTTGTGTGGGGGTGTGGGGGTGGGGGGGGGGGGGGTCATGATAAAATGCCAGTTCTGTAAATATCGTTCATTTTCCAGACTGGACTAAACCCTGAACGTCTACAGACCGCTCGTAAACTCCGACAGAAACAGGAGACGACGACGACGACAGAGGATCAGAATTCTCCACTGAAGATCTGTGTGAAGGTGACGCAGCGTTTACAGTCACTGACGGTGTAGACTGTTGACAGTGTCAACACCGTGTGTGTGCTGCAGTTTTCTAATCACTGTTTTAGAGAAGATACTGTTTGTCGTCTCCACCCTTTGATTAAAACAGGAAGTCAAATCATTGTTTTCTCTTTGACTTCCCTGTGACGTCTTAACCAGGCTGAGCGACCTCTGGTGACCTTTCTCTGTGCAGTATGACCAACAGAAGGTGACCCAGGAAGTTGTGTGCAGTAATCACCTGCAGGAGGAGAACACTGACGGTCCACTAGGGGGACGCCACCCATCAGAACCAGAGGAGGCGGTCCACCTCAGGTCCAGGAGCGGCGTCCACTCCGTCATCTTGGACTGGACGCCAGTCACGTTCGTGGACTCTGTCGGGGCCAAAGCCGTCAAACAGGCCGGTTAATTTGTCTGTTGTTCAGAGATGGACTGTTGTCGACGGCGGTACTCATCGCAGTACTGCTGTGTATTCCTGCAGGTCATGAAGCAGTACGCAGCCGTGGATATCCAGGTGCTGATTGTAACCAGCAACAGTAAGTAACACTCGGACAGATGTGGGGTCACCAGGGGTCACGGGGTCGCTGGGTCAATATATCGTCGTGCCTAAAGTATCCCAATATATCGTATATTGTATCGTGATACGTATTGTATCGCCAGATTCCTGCCAATACCTTTGCCAGTACCCAGAGTACACAGAGTACTACAGTATCTCTAACCTCCTCTCAGCAGGAGCTGACCTTTCTGACCTTCTCTCTGCTCCGACAGTGACCTCTGACCTCAAGGCCTAAAACTTCAGATTGAGTCACAGAACAAAAAAAAAAAAAACTAATCAAAGAACCCATGTGGTGTTGTTGTTTTCAGGAAGTCTTTTGGACGAGCTGGAGACGCTGCAGTTCTTTGGGGGAGTGGTCTCCAAAGACATGGTCTTCCCCACGGTCCACGACGCCGTGCTGCACTGTCTCCAGTCCAGGGGGAGGAGCAGCTTCAGTGGAGCGGAGCAGGAGGTCTGAGGTGATCACTAATCAAAGACAGGACTGTCCAGGCCCAGGTCCAGGTCCAGGTCCAGGTCCAGGGTTGGTTTGACACTGAAGGTGCTGCCGTTTGGTGGACGATTCCTGGTCTAAAGTTAGGACGACGTTAGATTTTTCACAGAATGATCCACAAACCAAAGACAAACAGTTTTACTGCCACGGAGAGAAATGAACAAAACTTTGACTTATGCAGTTATACACAGATATATGTGTATATATGTACACACATTTATATACAAATATATGTTTATATTTATATATGTGTATAAATGTACATACATTTGTGTACAAATACATGTATATACATACATATATTTATATACAAATATATATGTATACATATATGTATATATATTTTTCTGACTTCTTTCTTCTTAGTAAATATATTTCTGAAGGTAATTTAGTGAAAGGGTTGACCCTCAGCTGGAAGTTATTTTAGTTCTTGTTGTTTAAGCTGCAACATGTGTGTGTGTGTGTGTGTGTGTGTGTGTGACACCCACAGCTGTACTGTATTTCTTCACCTGTGAACCATGATGACCAGCAGCACTGACCTCTTCTTCAGCCTGGACTCTGTTACAGTGCAGTCCAATCACTGGAGTTTGTGCTGAACTTCTGCTGTTACAGTGTAAACACGGGCTGTTAGTACAAATGGACACGGTGTTCTGGGGGGGGGGGGGACCATGTGACCATGTGACTGTTTGATAGGTAATAGAGCCGTGAGAATTGAAATAAACGTTGTTTTTACAGACACGCCGTCTTCGCCTGACCTGATCCTACCGCAGCTGACGTTTACAGACACGTCATAGGAGGGAGGAGTCAGCGAGGGCTTCTAGTATAAAAATAACTTTATAAAGTGCTTTTAATGTGTTAAATACACATGATATTAACTTTAACGAGGACACGACAGGTTCTTCTGTGCAGTATAAAGTCATAACAGCAGCTGAAATCTATCAATAATCAACACGTTAACGATCCTGACCCTCGACAGTTATAATTAATTTCAGCCGTTTCAGTCTTTAACTGCTGCCCAATAAAAAGACGTCTTATTACGGGGGCGTCTCACAACAAACGTCGTGATTTACTAAAGTAAAGACTCTTACCAATATAGTCATAACTGAGTTATTGTAAAACATACTGTAGGCGCTGGTCACATTCATAAACTTCTGATCGTTCTCATAACATCGACAAACGAGGCTTTATGAGCATGTTACTGAGAAAGGAGGGCGTGGGTGACATCTGCTGGCAGAGTCGGTGATGTACAGCCTTGTAAAGGTGACGCCGACAAAACTCGTGTTTTGTTTCACTGTAACGATCTAGCTCTACTATCACTACTGTCAGACTGACATCGAATTATTTTCCCATTGGTTTTTATTAAAAATAAAGATCCCCTGATATCATTGTTGCTCTAACACTCTCAATGATGATACATTGTTTGCCAATGAAGAATAAAAGAAAAAAATCATTTGGAATAAATTTTATTTTAAATGAACATTCGACAAAAACAAAGGCCATTTTTGCTTTGTTCCAGGATAAACAACAGAAACGACAACACACTCTCTCTCTCACACACACTTGCTCTCAGTTGTAGGTCATGTATCTTGGGGTGGCGCTGAACTTGGCGTAGGACTTGATGACCTTGTTGACCGCTTCCAGGAAGTCCTTCTCGGTGGCGATCTTCCTGCGAGCTCTGATGGCGAACATGCCCGCTTCTGTGCACACGCTGCGAATCTCCGCCCCTGACGACACAAAGACAAGTCAAAGACCGCGTCGCCAACGGCTGACACTTCACAGTGGTTCAGTGTTAGAGTGGAGTCAGTCGTACCAGTGCTGTTGGGACAGAGTCGGGCCAGCAGCTCAAAGCGAATGTCTCGCTCCACACTCATGGACCGGGCGTGGATCTTGAAGATGTGTGTGCGACCCTGAAAACAGAGGAGACGTGGAGAAGAGATTCAGTGGACTGTCTGTAAAACGGATGATTTAAAGTGGAGATTCATTTGATTTTTTTAACAGATTTCTAAGAGGAGAACCTCACCTCCAGGTCAGGAAGGCTGAATTCAATCTTCCTGTCCAGACGCCCCGGTCTCATCAAGGCAGGGTCCAGTGTGTCAGGTCTGTTGGTGGCCATCAGGACCTTGATGTTGCCGCGGGGGTCGAAGCCGTCCAGTTGGTTGATGAGCTCCAGCATCGTCCTCTGGACTTCATTGTCTCCTCCTGCGCCGTCGTCAAAACGTGCACCTGGTGGGACGAAGGACAAGGGGACACGGGTAGTTCAGGAGGAGACGTGACGGCATCGGTGTGGTCAGACTGGACAAACAGCCGGACGGGCTGTCGGTCGGTCAGTGATCGGTCCTGACCACAAACAGTAGAGGGAGCTCACACTCCCAAACCAAAGCTAACAGGTCCTTAGCCAACATGTGAGCGATGTCATGTGTGATGTCATGTGACATCACACATGTGACTGACCTCCAATGGCATCGATTTCATCAAAGAAGATCAGACAGGCTTTCTTAGTGCGAGCCATCTCGAAGAGTTCACGCACCATCCTGGCTCCCTGTGAACCACAGCCACAATCAGAGTCCGCATTCAACGTGATCACAGTCTGAAGTCTTCAGCTCCGCCCACTGCCGCCCCCCGCTGCCCCCCCACTCACCTCTCCCACGTACTTCTGCACCAACTCTGACCCGATGACCCTGATGAAGCAGGCGTCGGTTCTGTTGGCCACGGCGCGGGCACACAGGGTCTTCCCTGTGCCGGGAGGCCCAAAGAGCAGCACACCCTTCGGGGGTTCGATGCCCAGGTTGACAAACCTCTCAGGCTTTAGAGGAGACACAGTCAAGACACTGTCACTCATCACTTACTGTAGAATGTTCTGGTTCCTATTATGGTGTTATTGTTTTTAACCTGGGTTTATGTCTTCACTCAGAATAAGAAAGAAAAGCGGATCAGAACTGACCCAGGTTTAAAACCCACTTTTAGAATGTTGTCATTATTTGGGTCAGAGGTGGGTGAGCACTTACATGCAGTAGGGGGGTCTCCACCACCTCCCTCAGCTTCTCAATCTGCTCTTTACATCCACCCACGTCACTGTAGGTCACGTCAGGTTTCTCCTCCACCTACAGGCCAGCAGTGGTAAAAACACTGTCAGGATTAAAGGCTGGTGTGGCAACGCTTTGGATTTTAAAAAAAATGGAATACTGACACAGAACAGATTTTAAAAAAGTGAAGTTAAAGTTGGATTTAAATATTGTGGAAACATTTGAAACGTTTAATTTTATCAAACTGGACTGGGAAACGGACGTGTGTACGTTGCTTAATATCCTTTTAGAATAAATGCCCTGTCACTCAGTGAAAACTCTGAGTATCTTTAATCATCAACATGTTTTCATGAATTTTACAGTGTGTGGTGACTTTATACCTGCATCATAGTGACAGTGGGGTCGATCTTGGGGGGCAGAGGGATATGAATCTGATACTTGTTTCTGTCAACCCTGCAGAAGGACATGAAATACTAACATGAGCAGATGTTCACTGACAAACGGTGATTAACATGTGACACTTCATCATGACATGTTTGACTCACCCGACCCTCATGCCTTCCTCAATGTCCGTAGGAGCCACCTGGTCACTCAGGTCCACCACAAACTTGGCAAACTGCTTCACATTGATGATGTATTTGGGGTCCTCTGAGTCTGCGTTGATGATCTTTGTGCATCTGTGAGGAGCAGCAACAAAGGTAAATATCAACAGATTTGTCAGCAGCACCGAAGCAGGCTAAAAAAAATGAACAGAATGCTAATCATCCTCGTTTACTTTATTATTTAATTATTGACTTTTTAACTTTGTTGGTTTTACCTTGCCACCTGTAGTGGTTGTTCACTCTGCAGAGTCTGTTTATCAGCAGCCAGGTCCCAGAGAGCTGGTGGGGCCAAACCAGTGTCTGACTCCTTGATTCCTGATGTAACAAAAAAACAAACAAAAACAAATCGTTTTTCTAATCTGCATGAATCTGAGAAAACCAGAGCCAGTGTTCTCTAAACAAACGGTGCCGTTCAAATGTTGGTTAATAACCTACCTGTGAGCTCATTGATCTTTTTGAGCAGCTGTTGGATGTCATCCTCTACTTGTTTGATCTGTCTGGAGTAGGTGCTCTGACCCTGGTAACGTGAACAACAATGGAACTCGTTTTACAACAATTTGGACCAAATCAAACCTCATACACGAGAACATCACAAAAACAGCTGAAGTTAAACTTACATATGTCTTTAACAGTGCGATGTCTCCTTCATCCAGAGCTGTAATGAAGATAAAAAAACATCATTAGTGGCTGTGCACGATGACATTGTCGTTGAGTCGTTAGCATTGTTGTCAAAGTGAACTGTACTTTGTATTTACGTCTACAACTTTCGTTAAAGGAAATATTTTCCATATCTCGTACAATATGAACATTGATGTTCCATTCAGAAACACAAGTGTTTTTAAAAAATAGATAGTTAAAGTAGGTACTTAGCAAATTAGCATTAGCCAAATAGCTAATACCGACGTTTCTATGGATAAATACCCCTCAATCCGCGTTATAAGCTCGTTTTAAAAGTGTACCTCTAATGGGACCGTCGTCCTTTTCTTCCTCTTTAATCTTCCTCTGGTCATCTCCTAAATAATCCGGCATTTTTACAACGGTTAACTAGTTTCTATCGCACGAAAGATATCTTTCAGCGGCTCCGCTGTACAATTACACAGCAGCTTTGCATTTCCGCTTCTTTCTGCCAGTCACCGGAAATACATGTCGGTGGCTTTTAGAAACGTACCTCCAAGTAAAATACATTTTCCGTTAAACGCCGAATTCTCGATATACGTGGAATAGATTATATTTACAATTAATAATTATTTTTTTAATACGAAGGCTATAGGAAATTAAGACTTGAGTAACAATTATCTTGAAGAACGTTTCCAGCTAGGAACCATTATCAAAAACCCGGTGCCAGAGCGGCGTGACGTTTGACTACGTTCCTGGTCTGGCACTAGTGACGGGAGGCCCATGTGGTGTTACAATAAGTGGTCAGGCAAACTCAAACGCTTAGGGACGCTTCCACGAAGTACCTCCAGCACCTGAATGTTCGTGTAGTGCACTTTAAGAAGATGCTGCTGGAAGCGCTGGACGGGGACGGAACGGTTGTCTACGCAGCCGCTGCCGGTAAGAAACAGGGAGGCCGGGTGTAGCAGCTAACTGAGCTACCAGTGGTTTATACCGGGTGTACGGCGTGTTCGTAACGGTTGGAGTGAGAGCACAAAACAGAAAAGACGACACAGTTTGGCCGTGTGTCAGATATGAAATGATTTTTGCTACATATTTTTTATATAAAGTCAAGTCAGAATTGAAGAGGCTCCGTGTTGGACTGTGTCTGAAACCCTGAGCCTCAGCTGCTGTTCACCTTAACAAACTCTACTGACACTGTATTATTTACACAAGACCAATGCAATATAAGAAAAACTACTTTTTCGTTTATTTTTCACCTGAACACACAGATCTGGACAAACCAGGTTATCATTATGTTACCAGTAACAAGGACAGGATTAGAGCCGTGCTCATGAATAAAGCAACAACAACAGAGTTATCTGTTAGCTTCACCTGTATCTAAACACTGGCCTTTTTCCCTCCAAGACGTATACACAGCACAGGAGCAGGGTTCTGTTATGGTTGTTGTCGTTGTGTCACATCCAGACACAATAGACCCCGTAGGCCTGGTCCTACTTGGTCCCCGGGGTTGTTTACCTGGGCTATAAATGTAAACACAATACAGTAAACAGTCGGTAACTCTGGTCCACGACATGTTCAAGTCAAGTCTATGGAAACGTTAACTTTTGTCTTTCTTTTTTGTCCATTTCAGCCTCGGTGCAGGTTCAGGTGGAGCCGGTCGGACGATGGCTGGAGGCATATTTAAAGAGGAGGAGCAGAACTACGTCAGCTTCTTTCCAGGAGCTGGACGAAGAGGAGGTGTCATCTGAGGAGTCGGACGATGAGGAGTTTCAGCTGGAGGAATACCTGATGCTGCGCACGCTCGACCCCAAAGATTGGAAGGTATTAAATCACATCAGAGGTTTATGGTCGTTATTGTTGTTAGTTTTATAATGTTGGTAAATATGTAGCACAACGAGTTCTTTAAATACAAAAAAGGACGGGGAGTATTGTGAATATAGAAACACTTCAGGGGTTTATTTAGTTTTAGTAACTGACTCTGTGGGTCTTTGTCTTGTGAATTGTTCTTCAGAATCAGGATCACTACGCCGTCCTCGGCCTCCCACACCTGAGGTACAAAGCCACACAGAGACAGATTAAAGCAGCCCGTAAGTGTTTCTCCGACCTCAGGACAAATGAAAGACTTTGTTGTTGCCGTTGACCGTGTGAGTTGGTGACACCTTGTTGATTTTCAACAGATAAAGCAATTGTGTTGAAGCATCATCCTGACAAGAGGAAAGCTGCTGGAGAGCAGATTGTAGAAGGAGACAACGACTACTTCACCTGCATAACTAAAGGTGTGTAACACACCAGGTTAATGTTGGTTATTTATTATCTTTTATTCATATGTTTACATACAGTATGTATATTTTTATTTCTATCTTCTGACCCTCAGCGATAGAAATCCTGTCCGACCCTGTGAAGAGAAGAGCCTTCGACAGCGTAGATCCCACCTTCGACAATGCCGTGCCGTCAAAGGGAGAAGGCAAAGAGAATTTTTTTGATGTCTTTGTTCCAGTTTTTGAAAGAAATGCAAGATGGTCTTCCAAAAAACATGTGCCTAAACTTGGAACCATAGAGTCATCGTTTGAGGAAGTGGATAATTTTTACTCTTTCTGGTAGGTGGCAGATGTTACCCAAACACTGGGTCCTGGACAGGAACGTAACAATGCACTCGACCCACAATACCATCGATTTTTATCACGATTTTTAAACATTTTCCCATTCACGATGCATCGTTACGTCCCTAGTCCTGGACCAGTACCATGAGTCATTAGGTCTGTGGCTGCAGAGACAGTCGGACTGTTGTGTTAATGGATGTTAATTGAAGATGTTGAGAGAAAATCTAACTGATAACCACACTCACATTCTACTCTCAAAGGTATAATTTTGACTCGTGGAGGGAATTCTCCTATTTGGATGAAGAAGAAAAGGAAAAGGCTGAATGGTGAGTTGTCGTCAGAACTGAAATGTAACGGAGTCTCCAGGCCGGACTCCAGGACTTCATGGAACTGTTCTGTCTTGCAGTCGAGACGAGAGGAGGTGGATTGAAAAACAGAACCGAGCTTCGAGAGCTCAGAGGAAGAAAGAGGAGATGAACAGAATACGAACACTAGTCGGTACGATCAGATCAACAGACACAGACACAGACGCAGAGATGACAGTGGTCCACATCAGACCAGTTTAATTATTTTATGTCTAATTAAAGGGCTGCAAATACAAACATGTCAACAATAAATGTGTTTCCTTCGCTGCAGATACTGCGTACAGCTGTGACCCTAGAATAAAGAAATTCAAAGAGGAAGAAAAGGCACGGAAAGAGTCTGAGAAGAAGGCCAAAGCAGACGCCAAGAAGAGAGAGCAGGAGGAGAAGGAGCGGGTGAGTGCTTTTGTCATTGTCTCGTGGGTGTCACTGTTTGAATTTCTTACTTTTGTCATTGTCTCGTGGGTGTCACTCGTTTGATTTTCTTATTGTTCATTGGTTTGTCTCTGATTTCTCTGTGGTTTTCAGGCCCGACAGGCAGAGCTGGAGGCGGCTCGTTTGGCAAAAGAGAAGGAGGAGGAGGAGGCCAAACTGGCAGCTCAACAGGCGAAGAAAGAGAAGGAGATTCAGAAAAAAGCCATCAAGAAAGAGAGGCAGAAACTCAGGACAACGTGCAAGGTTTTTTTTTTTTTATTATTTGTTTATTTATTTGTATTTACTCAAAAGAAGAGTTCAATCTTTTTCATATTTTCTTTGGTTTTTAGATGTATTTTATCTTCAGGATGTTTTGAGTTACTAATTTAGATTAGTGTATTGATCTGATCATATTGATCATTGATCTCTGTTTGTTCTGTGATCCCTCTGCATCTCTGGCATTCAGAGCGCCACCTGGTGTTCTGAATGTTAGATGTCATGTTAACATGCCGCCGCTAACATGACGGTCGCATGTTAGCGACGGTCGGGTCGCTGACATGGTTGAAACGACCAGATCAGTAATGTTCAGAGGCTCTGTTTTTTTACTCTATTCCTTCTGTCATCGTGAAGCTGCAGTTTGACTAATGCTTTCCTTCTGTTGGTGTCCTCCTCCTCCTCCGACAGAACTGGAATTATTTCGCTGAGAATGAGGCGGACAGTGTGAAAATGATGGAGGAGGTGGAGAAGCTGTGTGACAGACTGGAGCTCACCAGGTGAGGTCATCTTCTGAGGAGGACGAGACCATCGTGCTGAGTGGACACTAACACCATGATCCCTGTGTTTTCAGTCTGCAGTCCCTGAACGAAGTCCTGGCCTCAGGCTCCAAAGAAGACAGCAAGGCAGCTGTGGAAAAACAGGTAGAAAAAACAAAACAAAAACAACAACATCATGACACTCGTGCTCCTCTGAGAGATGTTGAAAGACTGAAATGGTTCATTCAGGTTTCTGTAAGCTACAGACTGCCTGATTGAAGGTCTACAGGTGGTCCAGGGCGCCCTCTGTTGGTTGATACTGCAACTACCTTAGACTGTCCAAGGCACAAACTTGAAACACAAACCTGAACATCATTTTATGTGGACCCACAGAGCTGCACATGCCTGTGGTTGGAAGGCAGTACTTTTTTTTATTTTTTTTTTAACGATTCTTGTCGTCCTTCAGGTCCAAGAAGTGAACGCTCAGCTGCAGAGGGAGAAAGAAGCCGAGGTCCAGGCCAGACAGGCAGCCCGTAATGCTGAGCAGGCCATTGGGGGAGGAGCGGGAGGAGGGAAGGGCTGGAATGAGGACGACCTTCAACTGCTCATCAAAGCTGTCAACCTGTTTCCTGCCGGAACCAACGCCAGGTAGACGTCACAGCCGCAGCAGCACGAACTAACATCAAACTGTACAAATGTTATTTTTTATTCCTGTTTCCTGCTCTTCATCTTGTGATCCTGGTTAAGTAAAACACACTCAGTGTCCCGTCTACTCTAACAGTTTACAGGGAGTTTGGAGAAACTGTAAAAACACTAAATGTTTTGTGATGATTGGCTTCAGAAATAAAACTGACTTTTTTTTTTCCAGATGGGAAGTTATTGCCAACTACATGAACTTACACTCCACCAGTCAAATAAAGAGGACAGCCAAAGATGTCATCAACAAAGCCAAGAATCTCCAACGACTCGGTGAGAAACACATCACTGTTGTCAACGGTTTCGTTTACACGTAGAGGAACACAATCATTTTTATTTTAGAAAAGACAAAATAAGCTGACACGTTGGTGTCCCGTCTCCGTTCTGTGTCTTCAGATCCACTGCAGAAAGACGAGATAAACAAGAAGGCCTTTGAGAAGTTCAAAAAGGAACACTCGTCAGTGGCTCCGTCCATCGACAACGCCGCGCCCTCAGAGCGGTTTGACTGTGAGGACATTTTCACTGCAGAGAGAGTCTAATAAAAGACGGTGGCTTTATTAAAACAAACAGTCACACGTTCAGTTGAGGTGTAACACTTGTCTTTGTGTCCGTCCTCAGCTGCTGGTGACAGTAATGCTGCACCTTGGACCACAGAGGAGCAGAAACTTCTGGAACAGGCTCTGAAGACGTACCCAGTGAGTACGCCTGAGCGCTGGGAGAAGATCGCTGCGGCTGTGCCAGGACGAAATAAGAAAGACTGTATGAAGAGATACAAGGTATGATGATGATGATCAACCCACCGTGGCCTTCGTTGTCCTGTGGTTCTAACCTGAGTACGTGTTTCTCCCTCACAGGAACTGGTTGAAATGGTGAAAGCTAAGAAAGCTGCCCAGGAACAAGTGGCAGCCAAGAGTAAAAAATGACGGGAACCACAATAGACGATAGTATCAATTATTTTAACATTATTGTGTTGGTCTTTATTTTATAATAAAATGTTTAAGGAGAAAAACACTTACTGAGAGTGTGTAATATTTTGTTTTGATGAAAAGTCATCCTTCCCTCAGGTTTTTCTATATCAGAAATGCTGTATTTGAGCAGGAGGATAATAATGTTAGGATGATTAATGTCCGCATACGAAGAGGAGCTGAAACACAAACGTCCGTGATCTTTGAAAAGTGGTAAAAACATTTATTTCCTGCACTTTGCGAAGCACTAATTCCCTTTAAGCGGTTGTCACAGTGCGCATGTGCCATTTCTTTCCTGACGCCACATCCACTCGGAAATGCGAGGTGATAACAAAATATAGGCCTTGAAATAGAGACGTTTGTAAAATCAATGAAGTACTGCCAATACATCCATGTACAAATAAACTAAAATGTTAATTCTAATATATGAAGTGTTTTTAAAGTTTCTGAAAGATTTCCCATCACAAAAGTTTTACGGACCTCACATTTATTTTGAAAGGGCGTGACAGTTGTAATACGGAAGCGGTAGTTCTATCCTAGCGCGAACTTTCGTCAGGCGGTTAAGTTTTATTTGTTAGCAGGACTTAAACGGGTCAGTCTGTAGACTAGCAAGGGGGAAAACGAATATTAGAGATTTTGTTTTGTTAAACATATTCCAGCCTTTTTGTCTTTTTTCAAACAGGAGTTTTTCGATGCCCCGCAAACGTTTACACAGCGATGGTTAGCCTAGCAGTTAGCTTCTGCAGCTAGTCAGCCTCTGACCCCAGCCGGTGCATCGTAGCTGCAGCTAACTTTGGTGTGACTCTCAGTTAAGAAATGGCTCATTGTGGAGATGTAATGGATGGTGAACTAGAAGATGGGGAAATTTCCGGACCCGAATCGGACAACGAGATGGCGGCGACGACGACCGCAGCGCGACCCCACGTCCCCCCTGTCTTCGGCGGCCATTCCTTCCAGAGCAGAGCCGCTGCTCGGCCTCCTGCAGCCCCTTACCGCAGCGTTGGGAAGACCGAGGAGTCCAGTGACAGCGAACCGGAGTCGTCAGACGAGGAGGCGGCTGTTTGGCGCAAGAAGCGCCAAAAAGTGTGTAACGTTCCCCAGCCGACACGCCCGGCGGCCCCCGGTGCAACGGGTGGGCGCAGAGTCAACAACATCTGGGGCTCCGTGGTGCAGGAGCAGTGCCAAGATGCCGTGGCCACCGAGCTGGGCATCTTTGGCATGGAAGGTGAGGTCAGCATGTCCAGTAGAAACGTGGAGACGTATAACTTTGTCCTGGCTCGTAAGATAATGGAGAAGGAAAGAGAAAAGGAGATGCAGGCGAGGAACGAAGGAGAGGTGAACATGCTCGATACCCAGCTGGAAGAATACATGAAGGGTCGGGGGTCAGAGGAGGGCACTGGGGGTGACGCCAAGAGGAAGAGGCCTCTCAAGGACAGACTGGGCCCCAGAGCTGAGATGGACGTCCAGGGCAGGTACGAGATCACAGAGGACGACCCGGTGGAGAAGGTGGCGGAGGAGATCGCACACAGACTTCAAGAGCCCAAGAAAGACCTCATCGAACGGGTGGTGAACGTCATCGGAACCAAAAAGGCCATCGAACTGCTGGGAGACACCGCCACACAGGAGGCGAGCGGGGGGGTGTACACTGTAGACGGCAGCAGGCGACGGACACCAGGGGGCGTGTATCTCTACCTGCTGAAGAACACTCCCAGCATCACCAAGGCACAGGTCCGCAAGATATTCGCAGAGGAAAACCAGATGGTGGAGAAGAACAAGAAGGCTGCTCAGAAGAGGAGGAGACACATGGTGGCGAAGAAGATGAAGCAGGCCATCAGCACGCTGAACCTCCAGGAGCACGACGACGTCTCCAGAGAGACGTTCGCCAGCGACACCAATGAGGCCTTGGAGTCACTGGAGGACGCAGCAGACGAGCTGGGAGACCGAGGAGAAGACAGAGGAGCGGAGCAGGAGGAGGAGGAGGAGCAGGTGGAAGCTGCTGCAGGGACTGAAGACACCGCCGTGGTCTACATCTCCACAGACCTGGAGGTCTTCTGAAACCTCTCCACTGTCTTTGAACTCCTAAGACACCGTTGACATTCGTCCACTGTGACCAGATCAAAGTCGTTTCAACAAAAACATGTATTTCAGGGTGTGTTGACTTTTTAATATCATGTAGGACAGAGGATGAAACCAGGTCTGAATGGAGCCTTAAAGGTCAAAGGTGAAAACCGTCATGAATGAAACACTAAAGGACAGTACTGGGATAAAGACCGACGCGTTTGTTCTAGAAGTTTCTCACCAGAAGAATTCCTTTTAGCCCAAAGTTTCAATTCACTTTTCTTTTTTTTGTGCTAATAACCCCTCTAAACTTCCTGTTTCCTGTTTCCTGTAAAACTGATCTGTGAAGATGATGTTGGGAAATTGTTAAAGACACGTTTCACATGTTTGACAATAATAATGTTCACGCTTATAAATAAAGGAATGAAGATGAACTTTATTTTTACTCTGCTCTTCATTGATTCTTGACGACACGTTGCTTAGCAACTCTGACATCATTTCACATTTGTTGTTATTTTTAATAATGTACTCAACTTGGGAAAAAAATAATATTTTGTTTACAAGACATTTTCAGGTTTAAGATTCTTCAGGAAAAAGACGTTTTTAAAAACTGAACTCAGGTCCAGGTTCTCCTCCCAGAGCTGAAGAGACTGATGTGAAGACCTGAGTCACAACCACTGATGGAGACCAACACCAACACCTGGAGCTGTCAGGTACTACACCTCATTTCTTACTGGATTCTTTACGTTTATTGATTACGTGGGGTTTTACTGACACCTAGTGGAAAATGTCACTTCCTGAGTCAAACATGAAGCATAAATACGTCACACGAACAGAACAACGGACAAAGACAGATGGAGAGGTGTGTACACCCAGGTGACACGGGGGGGACACGGGTGAGAGTGACGACACGAGCTCCAGCCACAGACCAAACAGGAAGTAGAAACAGACCGACCTAACACGATAAAATATGTTTATTAAGAAGAAAAAAAGACGAGCTGTTAAATACTTTTTTTACCCGCTCTTTACATTAAAAAAATTGTATGTGTGTTTATGCAGTTACAAAGCACAACCAAAAGAGGGCAGCAGAAACTCAGCAACGTGTGGCCGTCGTTCGGTGCTGAGGTAAGTGAACGTCCTTAACGTCACAGATGAAGCTGAGAAGCTGGTTTAGATTTTTGATTTATTTTAATTAGTGAAATTTAATTAAAATTTCAAAAGTACGTCTGTTAAAAGTCTTAAAACAATATAAACAAATACAGTTTATTCATGGAGGTCAGTGGTTTTGTGCCACTGTAACTGCAGCACTTTAAATACCACTGGTACTAAACACAGGTTTTCAGCGTTTGAACACTGACACTGATGATCGTTATCTCTGCCTGGGGTCCGCGGCGCCACAGGCTCCGTGTTCTGCTTCATTTTCCCGCCACTCACGGCTGTTTTTACACGAACCCGTGGCCGTCGTCGTGAGGACACCTGGATGCTGCAGCGGAGATCCACGGTCACCGCAGGTCACGTGGGAGCAAACCGCCGCGTGTTTCCATTTTAAACGGATCAAAGCGGGGTTATCAAAGAGCTGCGGGAAGTGTGTGATGTTCGATCAAAGAGCTGCGGGAAGTGTGTGATGCTCGTGTGTCAGATGTGCTCTGCCGCTTCACGACCTGTTTGTCCGTCACCTGGCAACAAACTGGTTGCTAAGATACGACTCCTGGTTCCTTATTTCTATCGGAGAGCGCGTGTTCGGGCAGGTGGACGTGTCCACGTGATGTCAGCAGTTGGAGACGTTCACTGCAGTCGGTGACATGGTGCCAGTGATGGAGGAACGGCTCGCTGCCTGCTGCGTCACTGGATGACACGAGCGGAAGTAACAAGGAACCGGACTTTTCATCAGACAGAACCGGAACTTCTGGACTTCGACCGAAGTTCAACTGACACGAACTTTTACTCTTCTAGTTTGGCGCGTTACCTTCAGACGTCACTTCACAAATGCGTGGAGGCAGTGTGTGTGTGTGTGTTAAACCTGAACTGGTAAAACACACACACACACTTATTTTTTTTGTAGCTAAATAAAGATCGGTGCTGGGAAACAGACCAAACGCGGTGACAGTTTTGCCAAATGAAGCATGAAATTGATCCGCGGCGACAAGACTTCCGCTCAGCTCCGGAAATAAAGTCGAGTTCCTCAAACCAGGCATGAAATGAATCAGCGTTAAATAAAATTAGAGCAAGAATAAAATCATATTGTAATAATGATAATTTATATAATGATCAGTATTTTATACAAGAATATATAATATATCTTATATATACAGTATATACTGAAAATACATATATATATACATATATATATATATATATATATATATATATATATGTCCACGACAGCAGACGCTCCTGCAGGAGTAAGAAGGAGGAGGTCAGGAGTTCTGACCTCTGCACTCCTTCACACACATTGTCGTGTTAAATAAAAATGTGTGAACTGTCGTTAAAAGATGTTTCCGTTGAGGGAGGGAACGCTGTTCATTTGGCCAGAATGTTTCATCATTATCATATCATTATGAAACCATTTTTCATATGAATTGCTCCTAATCTCTCCACCTCATCCATTTAACATTAATTGGCTCATTAAATCCTTGCAGCCAGACGTCACTGGGGTGAGATTAATAAACTCTCCCTTATTAATCTGTGCAATGTGGACAAACTGTCAGAGTGTGATGAACCTAATCACCTAAAGACAGATGAATATAATAGTTATCTAAAAAATAATATTAATGAAAAGATGTGAAAAAATAGTAATATTAAATATAGAAAAATATATATTTTTTCAAAAAAATCTAAAAATGAAAAAAAACATTTTCTATTTTCCAAAAATTATACACATTTTTATTTTAATTTTAGAAAAAATTTAATTGTTTTGTAAGAATTAAAAAAATTGTAAAATTTTCTCAATTTTTTTTTCTAAAAATGAAAAAAACTTTTTTTAAATTTTCAAAAAATTATAGTTTTTTTTCAAAAAATAATTTCTAAACATTTTTCATTTTTTTATTTTTCTAGATTTTTTTTTCAAAACGTGATTTTTCCTAAAAAGTTATTACATTTTTAAAAAAATTTTTTTTTTCAAAAAAAATCAGAAAAATGCTCTAGTTTATGAGAAACATGCAAGAAAAGATAACATTTTGAAAATTTTTTTACAAAACTGTTCATCAAATTTCTTTAGTTTTTGACCAACAATGACATGAAAAATTCACATTTTGACAAACAATTTCACATAAAGAAATTTGAAAAATATTTTCTAAATGCTCTAATTTTATGAAAAACAAGGAAAAGATTCATTTTTGAAGAATAATTTAACAGACAACGACACAAAACAAAATTTACAAAAATGTTTGTCAAACTTTCTTTAGTTTTTGTCCAAAAATGACATAAAAATGTCAAATTGTGACAGAAATTCTGATCAAAATGTTTTTTAAAAACGTTTTCTAAATACCCTAATTTTATGAGCAACTAGAAAAAAAATAGAATATTTTTAAAAATAAATTTACAAAAAATTTTGACAAACTTTTTTTAGTTTTTGACCAAAAATGACATAAAAACCTCACATTTTGACAGAAACTTTTATTTTAAAAAATGTCTAAAAATGTTCAGGATAACATTTAAGATAAAAGATGAACATTTAAAAAAAGATAACATTAAAAAATAATTTTACAAAATTTTCATCAACTTCTTTTTAGTTTTTGATCAAAAATGACATAAAAACTTCATATTTTAAAAAAATTGTTATTTAAAAACATTTCTAAAAATGTTCTGTAAATGCTCTAAATTTATGAAAAACATGCAGGAAAAGATTTAGTTTTGAAAAATAATTTTACAAACATTTTTATTATTTCTTTTTAATTTTTGACCTTAAATTACATAAAAAATTCACATTTTGACAGAAAGTTTTATTAACAATCTTTTGTAAAAATGCCCTCATTTTAGGAAAAACAGTCAAGAAAAGATAACATTTTTAAAAATAATTTTATTAAATTTTTTGACAAACTTTTTTTAGTTTTTGAACATAAATGACATAAATAGTTTACATTTTGACAGAAAATTTCATATAAAAAAATTGTAAACATATTTTCTAAATGCCCTAATTTTATGAGAAACATGCAGGAAAAAATAACATTTTTAAAAATAATTATTTAAAAATGTTTGTTAAACCTTTTTTAGTTTTTGACCAAAAATTACATAGAAACTTCACATTTTGACAGAAACGTTTATTTAAAAAACATTCTCAAAATGTTTTCTAAATTCTGTAATTTTATGAGAAACATGCAAGAAAAGATATATTTTTTAAAAATAATTTTACAAAAATGTTTGTCAAAATGTTTTTTATTTTTTGACCAAAAATAACTAAAAAAATTCACATTGTGACACAACGTTTTATTTAAAAAAATTTTAAAAATATTTCTAAAAATATTTTTAAATGTATTAATTTTATTAGAAACGTGAAAGTAATAATAACATTTTTAAAAATAATTCTACAAAAACTTTTCATCAAACTTTTTAGTCGGTGACCAAAAATGACACAAAAAAGTTAACATTTAGAGAGAAAATTCCATTTAAAAAAATTTGAAAAAATACTTTCTATTGAGAAACATGCAGGAAAACATAACATTTAAAAAAATTATTTTACAGAAATGCCTTAAAATGCAAGAT